CTGCAGGGTAAGAAATACAGGCTTTTCCAGCCTGCTCACAACTAACCTCTGATCTGCAGCACAAGCTGCGGCAAATGTGAGAGGAATGACAAATTGGAGCTTAGGTTAAACAGCTTGTCCCAGCATAATCATTTTATGTTCTAAAGACAAGGGCTGATTAATAATTAAAAAAAGAGAAAACTTAACATAGGAAATTTACTGTCTGCTAAACTACCTTTCTCTACAGCAATTCGAAATCAGAGTTAGGAGGTAAGAAAAGGCTAATCAAAAAGAATCAACGAAAAAGTATTTCTTATGATGACACTGAATCAGCTGCAAATCTGGTTTGATCTATTGGGAGTTCAGCACTCTGAAAAAGCACTGGACTGGCATCTGTGGAAACCTCAGTCCTCTTCACATCCATAGCAGAGGTTCAAGCGGGCAAATGCAAATGCCTCGACATTGCCCTGACAATACACTTAAACCCTCTGCCAGAGGGACAATCAGTCTGGGAAAAGTAGTGTTCGCTCCGACTCCTCAGCTCAGCCCATGGTCTCCCTGCCAACCCTGCCAACCCTGCCAGTAAAGGAGGAGGCTGGTTGATGTCATTTGCTTTTATGATGTGGCTATTTCTGCACTGGGGATTAGAAGGACAGAAAACTCATTTCACAAAAGCTATCAAAACCTCACAAATGGTGGCACTACCAATCACCAGCAATTTCAGTCAGACACAAAATCTGAACCCATTTAAAGGCACATTAGTTTGACTGTTTTACGGCTTTGTCGGTAGCGTGCATTACACATATCTTTCCAAAATGGTGGTGGTCCCTAGTTATCATTAGGCAGAAGGGATCTCAGTACACTGAAATTTGATGAAATAACATTAAAGACCTTGAAAGAGCAATCCCTTATTCAAATAGTTTTTTTTATGAAGGAGCAAAAGCTGTCTCTCAACTGCTTATTTGTATGTCAACGAGTGCAGACTACTGGACATGGTATATACAGAAGGCCACTGGACACAACTTGCTGATTCATAAGTTACCCATTACTGTGAACCTTAGGTATCACCTATTTATTTACGATTGCTTTACTACGAAATTTCAATTTCCGATGCGCATTGCTGAATAGCTTTAGAAAATAAAGCGCCGATCCAGCCCCCACCGTTTAGCAATTTCCATTGTACTGAAGTATCCAAGGCTCACAGTTTTCTCCCCGCAGATTTATGGTACTTTTTCCAAAACACTGAGAGGAGGGAAGAGAAAAGGGGTTAGATTTTCAAAAGCTTTTAGACACCTACAGATAGAGAGAGGTGTTGAGTGGGATCTTCCCAAATGCTAGCAGAAAGGAGGCAAGGGAGTGATTCCTACTGCAAGTTTTATGACCAAACGTTTCAGAATATACTGAAATATACTGAAAACACTGGTGGAAAGCAAAAGGATTAACTTGCGGTCCTTCCAAATAGGTATGGAAACAATGAACCCCACATCATGTACCAGCAGTGTGTCGCACAGATTTTCATTCCTACATGTCTGGGTTTTTCACTGATAGTAGGCAATTTGGCATTAAGTACCAGCAATGCCTACCTTCTCTGCTGCTTCTGCCTCTTCAGCACAATGCGTGCTGGTGGATTTACCTGAGGAATTTGTTCAGATCTCCATGCTTCATATACTCAAAGACCATGATAAGCGGATCGCCCTCGACGCAGACGCCGTAGAACTTGACGATGTGCTCGTGCTGCAGGTTCGTCAGCAGCTCTGCCTCACGGTGGAAGTCCTTCCGGGCATTGTCGCTGGCATCCTTCAGCGTCTAGCGGAGGAAAGGGAGATATAAGGAAGGGGAGATGTTCGCAGAAGGTAAGGAACATATGAGAAGGCACTCTAAGGGTGAAATAAGGACGGTCTACTGTGTAAAGGATGGGGAAAATACATTCTTAATAACTGTTTTAGAAATGCAGGAGTGATGTTTAAGTGCAATTAAATAGTGGCGATATAATTTTTGTTCCTCTGTCACACGTCATCCCATAAAACTATTTTTATTGTAAGAGGATGCATGAATACTCAGGCCCTTACTGTGCCAAGTGTTTTCCAAACACAGAACAAAGAAACTAACCTTATCCAAAGAACATACTAGTACACAGCTGGCCCATAGCCTTTAGCATTTAACTCAGGCAAAATCCTGGTATCCTGTTGGTGTTCATCTTTGTTTTAAGTTCTTTAAAGTAAAGCTTTGTTT